TATGAGGTTATGAGTAATGTACATTCATTAGTATATTGGACATCTAATTTCACATGAGATATTATAAGCAATATGAGAGTGTATGAGGTTATGAGTAATGTAAATCCATTAGTATATTGGACATCTAATTTCACATGAGATATTATAAGCAATATGAGAGTGTATGAGGTTATGAGTAATGTAAATCCATTAGTATATTGGACATCTAATTTCACATGAGATATTGTAAGCAATATGAGAGTGTATGAGGTTATGAATGATGTAAATCTAGTGGTATATTGGACATCAAATTATACTAGGACATTGAAAATATTTTTAGAGAGTGTATGAGGTTTTGAGTGATGGAAATCCAATGGTGTATTAAACATCTAACTTGAGAAGTAATATTGAATGTATATGTCAACAACGATTGTTATCTTTTCACATTTCCATTATAGTTGAACTACTTAGTACCTGCTGCTTGCTGTATCAGTATTCTACTTCTCTTTGATGTACCAGCCTACACATCGTCTACCAACTTACCAGCAGTTATACTCCTATTTTTACTCTATGGGTAAGTCTGTTTACTGTTAGCCTATACAATTTTCTGCTGTACCAATGTTGTCTCTGTTTGTCAAATAATGAAAAGTATTTTATGCTGTCCACTCTCCTCTTAAAATGCTACAGTTTTCGCTATGCGTTGTGTTCATTATGGGACCCATATCAATGTATACAACGTGTGTAAAATACATTGTTTGTTTACATGAAATACGAACACACACTGTATGACGACTGTAGCGCTGTAGGGACAACATCAAAAGTTCAATGTAGGATAAAAACTTAATTCCTTTATTTTTTTCCCAAACCCCCCTACCCCCCACTGAAACTTAATTGATAAATATTGACCATGGCGTCAGACTACATTGACCATTAAATACAAATTGATAATCTGACAGTAGTATGGCATAGCAGTTGGGTGTCGGGTGGGTGTAAACAAACTTTACACTCGGACCAACCCATTTTCTCGTCTTGGATGTTTTTTTTTTTCATTTTCTGTTATTTTTGTCCATGACTGGATAGAGAAAAAAACGAATTACAAATACTCCAAGATTTTTTTGACTTAAAAAATAAAATCGTTTTTGTTGGATAGAAACTTTTTGAGGTCAAAACCCCCCACCCCCAAACTAAAGCAAATAAGTTTTTTATCCGACATCGATCTTTTGACGTCGTCCCTAAAATAACTTGACTAATTGATTATTAAAAAAAAAAAGCAATTCTTCGGACAGTCAAAAACACATACATTCTTTCAAGCGAGAAATGAAAACTAGCATTTCTAAGATTGTTCGCAATTATTACCGTATATAAAGTATATATAAAAATACATATACATAATAAATATATAAGTTAAGTTATATTGAGTGTGCTTTGTAATAGTTTGTAACAGCCATTATAATTTACCTAAATGTAATTTTGCTTTCTTGAATTATAGCGAATTGAGAATATATTTTGACCGCATTTAAATTGATTTTTCTTTGCCCTCAGATGGTCTATCACACCCATGATGTACACTGCTTCATTCTATTTTGATGTACCCAGTACTGCGTATGTGTTTTTGATTGTTATTAACCTATTCACTGGGATAACAACTGTGGTGGCAGCGTTCTTTCTCGAATTATTCTCAGATGACAAGGTTAGTATGATTGGCACAAAATACTAAAATCCCCCAAAAACTTCTAGCAATGGTTTACTATGTTTGAAATCTCAAGTACAGGTGTCTTAAGCGAAGCGCAGATCATTTGCCCGATGTAGTATGTAGTATGTGCCTCTGAAGAGGATATACATTGTCCATGAAGTTTACTCCATAACAAAATCACATGCATCATTGGTTAACAGAATCCAACGATTGTTGTACGTCCATACAAGTGATTACAGTCAATTACATCACTGACTGCAAAATACCCCTATTCTAATTCATGTATCGAATTTACATGGTAATGAAAGCATGTAATAAAAACTATAGTTAAAATACCAGCCAGTGAATATCATAATACTGGGTTCATCTTGTTCAAATATCTACATGTGTATTGAAATCTATACCCAAAATAATGGTATCTAAAAAAGCTGTTGCTGGACACTAGAAAAATTTCAGCCAAAAACTATGCTTTCAATATCAGCCCCATGTATTTTTACATTTACATTGACTTGACCACATAAGGCCTGATATATGCTTAGATGAAATATACTGCAAGCAATAGTCAGTTATATTTTTATATCATTTGGCAAGTCAAAAACACTATACAAACATACTTAAACTTGATACACCATGTAAACCAACACATATTTTCATAATAGCAACGATATTATAAATAAAATAATGTTAGATTGTGGAAAAGTGACTTCTTTCAATTCTACAACAGTGTTTTCGCTAACACTAGGGGAACTTGGGTGTTACCATTCGGAAATTATAGTATGTCATTGCAGTTAGCACTTGTACATTAACCAAATTCATGTACGGAACTCTGAGAAAAAATTTAGAAACTTTTTTATGCTACCACAAAAACACAGTACAAAGACTCAATCAATAGCTTTCTTCCCATACTTGCTTGTTTTCCTGATATGCGTATGTTTCATTGTAGGATTTAAAGCAAATTGGGACCACATTAAATGCTATATTCTTGATGTTTCCTAACTATTGCCTTGGAAGAGGATTGATGGATGTTGCTTATAACGATTATTTCAATGAATACTACTACAGAATAGGTATCTCTAACTTAATTCACATCCATGCATAGTCACTAAAAAAAAGAGGATTTAGAAGATAAATAACTTATGTTACTATTTACTATATTCACTGCGTATATATTTAACATATAATAAATATATATACATATATAATAAAATAATACACATACATGCACACCAGCAATGGTGCATCCATCTAAAAATATTTGTAATGTACAAATTATTGTTGTATGGGACTCACCATTGTTTCTGTCATTTTAGGGGCTTTTGATAAAATGCATACACCATTTGAATGGCAATTGACTTCTCGTATGCTGGTTGTCATGGCAATAGAAGGACTTGTATTCTTTGTTTTAACGCTGCTCATTGAGTATCGATTTTTCATTAAACCACGGTAAGTCTGTGAAGTTTTGATTAAGCATTACTGTTTTGTATTTAAAACAATATAAAAAAACACATAAAATATCTGTGTCTCTGCTATGAGATGTGATAATCATAAAGTAAATTTAAATAATTTGTTGACTTATCCCCCTCACAAAAAGCTCTGCTAACAACAAATCTTTGATCATTTGTTTTTGTAGAAAATTGTTACTGAGTCGACAGTCATTACCTGATGAAGATGAGGATGTTGCTAAGGAACGACAGCGTGTTATGAGAGGAGATGCCGATAATGATTTACTCAAACTTCACAATCTTACAAAGGTAGGGTATATTGAAATATATGAGGTTATTACGAGGATACCTCAAAGTATGCATGAAGAAAGTACAGAGGAAGTATCGACCGACACACAGCGGTGGTCGATGCGACAGCGTACTGTCTGAGTGTATACTTTGAGGTACCTTCGTAATAACCTTATTATTATACATCTTTTCCTTCAAAGGATACATATTGGGAATGCCGAAACCCAAAAGGTTTAGAACAGAATCAGCGAACTTCTTTGTATGGAGTCCGGTCAAACCCTGGTGGCAGCCATGTTTGTTTTTATTATTAAAGGATGCTTATGAGCATAATCATTCCATATTTAGAATTCGCATTTCCTTATATGGTAGGATGAAAATACCCCTGTAAATTACGGCACGTGTTACGGTGACAGATGTATAATAATAATTGTTATAATATGTTTTTTTATAAAGATGTTGCTTTGTGAAGGTGATCCTCGTTAAATACAAGACTTGGTCTCTGTTAGCCTTGTATTTGACTAGGTCTATAGTACTGTAAAATCAATTATTTTCACTGGCAGTTAATTTCACTATTTTGGTGCCTTGAGCAATTGTACTTAAGTTCACAAACTTGACAGGAAACAATGAGCTCTGTTGTAATGATTTCTGCTCATTTTGCAATTAGCACATACCATAAACCATATTAGATGTAAGTTAGGAATGTAATTATGCTGATTCTATTTCCTTTTTAATAGGTTTATAAAACCAGAAGGTCTGGTAGACATCTTGCTGTTGACAGAGTCTGTCTAGGAGTGCCACAAGGAGAGGTGTGTATACAGTTATCTGTTTTGTTTCACTTTGTTGAGTATATTAAGATAGAATATTTGACATTATATATGGCACTAACAATGCAGTATCTATAATCATTGAACATAATAAATACAAAATACCATGCAAATAATGTATTTAGTTGTAGAGTTTTTTGGTATTTCAACTTATCCCAGATTATTGGTGATGAATTCTGTTTATTTTTCGGTTTTCTGAATATTTAAAGAAGGTTACACTTGGGGGCACACTTCTTGTACTAACTACATACTTCTTGTACTGAAGATGCACTTATTCCACCCTCCTGACACTGAGTGCACACTTCTTGCACTGAGGATGCATTTACTGAACACTTCTGACACTGAGGGCGCACTTTTTTCACTAAAGGCATACTTCTTGCACTGAAGACACACTTTCCCTAAAGGCACATTTCTTGCACTGAGGGCGCACTTCATTCATTAAAGACATGCTATTTGCACTGATGTTTCACTTCTTACTCTAAGGACAAATATTTAGGGCACACTCCTGACTGCATCTCATAGGCATACATTTGCATTTAATACCAATACTGTATATCACTTTTTCATGAACTGCTATTTTTTTTATAGTGTTTTGGACTTTTGGGTGTAAATGGAGCTGGCAAGACAACTACGTTCAAAATGTTAACTGGTGATGAACTCATAACACGTGGAGAGGCTTTTCTCAATGGACACAAGTAAATAACAACAAATTGTTGTGTTATGTATTTCATTTATTTTTTTAAAAAAGCTTAATGTATACTTTAGTATATATACTTTTATTTATTTTTTTATGATATTTCTTTTTTAGTCCTCGCTACGCTTAGTCTGAAAACGGGGACCTAAAATTTCACATCTGTGCATGTGTCCGTCCGTCCATGCAGCTGTATCACAGACATGCCTGTGCCAATTCAGTTACATTCAAATCTTACACACTCATGATATCGTATACAATAAATAGTTACGTGCTAAAAATTCATTGAATTCATTGAGCATTTCTGCCAATCGAAAACTGGATTTCAGCTGTGAATGGACGTAATTCATTCAAACTTGGTATGTTCATTGAACATAATGAATCCTCAATGCACATCATTTTTTATCAGATTGGATAGAAAATGGCCGACTGGTAGACATTTTATTTTAACAAATGTTGTTCCAGGGCCATATCGCTGACATGCCTTGACTGATGTCATTTAAAACAAAAATACACAAATAAACTGGCTCCAGTTTGTAGCATGTTTGTCATACGAGTGTCAGTCATAACAGATAGTAAACACATGAATGTCTTCTATTGTCTTCTATTGTATTGTAAGAGCTGAACACCACTCTACTGGCTATCATTCCAACCCCATGCACCAACTTCAATTGAAACATTTAAATAGGTTTTTGCTTTCTTCAGCAGTTGTTTGAAATCATTCCTTTCATAATCAATCCTGCTTTTTGGGGGATGTCTGGTGTCACTTTGAAAAATTATCAACAAGAAATCCTGCCTTCTCATTGGTTGGCAGCTTACAATTCACACTATCATTAGCATAAAGTATCAGTTAACTATAGAGGGCAGTTTAGACTAGTCATGAAAATTTTGTATCAACGTTAGAGATTTCACAATTATCATGGCTGACCAAGTATGACTGCAGTCGTCAATGCTTCAATAATCACAGCATTTTTTAGTCAATGTAAAGTGCCAACAAAATGAACTTTAATTTTTCAAAAAATATAACATAAATTTGACCTATTCTATTGAGCTACAGATGAATTTTTATCTGAAAATTTTTGTCACTGTACACAAAGTAAATTTGCATAATCTTTTCCTTATTTTTGCAAAAATTGTTATGAAGAAATGTATCCAATGAAAAATTTTGTCTATTTTGTCCAAAATTACCAAAAAAATTATAAAAATCCAAATTGAATGTGCATAATGTCACACTCAAATTTTGGCAAAAAAAATGATGGTGCCCACAAGGGTAATAGTATTAGAAAACAGACCATCTTTGCTAGCAGTTTCCAAAAAATGAGATTTACAGTTTTGTATATTTGTGTTTTACAGCATAGCTACAGAAATCCATAGTGTCCATCAAAATATTGGTTACTGTCCGCAATTTGATGCCTTGTTTGATGAATTGACAGCTAAGGAACATCTGATGTTGTATGCCAGACTACGTGGAATTCCCCATCATGAACAAAAACAGGTAATAACTATGTTGCTGTCCTATATGACCCTGGCCTATCAGAATTGCATAGTTATATTTTATATTCAGTTTTTAGATAAGTACGCAACTTTTCATTTGATATTTTCTGTTTGGTATCTTGTTTGTAGGTGCGTTCGGTTGAATCTATTCTGGTTAAAATGTTAAGTGACAATATTCTCATTTTTTTTTATGTTTGGCAATATATCTGAACTGACTTTTTCTTTCCAGTATGGTGTAATGTAAACAAACTTTTCAAATTAATACTGTGGAATACTTTATTTTCGCTTGAAATTCATTTTCGCTATTTCCGCTGAAGGAATTTTTCTGTGAAAATAAAATCCAGCGAATATGCCTATTTTCCTATCTTTTACATTCAACCCGCTAAAAATTCGTGAAAATAAATTCCATACAACACATCTAAAAAGTTATTTCAGCAAAAATTAATTCCAGTGAAAATAAAGTATTTTACAGTACATACTGCTGTGTAAGGATAGAATTTAAATATATTTATTAGTGTTGAAGCAAAAAACAAACAAAAAAAGCTGAAAATTGACAATATTGTGTTTATTTATCAGGTGGTTGACTGGGCACTACGTAAGTTGGCATTGTTGCAATACGCTGATAAGCCGGCAGGTACTTTCAGTGGTGGAAACAAACGAAAGCTTTCAACAGCTATAGCTTTACTTGGACATCCACCTGTTATATTTATGGTGAGTAATACAATCTAACAATCTCAAGTTTTTTGAAAGTCATGTCACCGTTTTGTGCAGAGATATGGTTTAGTATGTACTTCTATAAAAATTACCTTGTTTTTGGTAACAAGTCAAATTGATGAACTGACTGTTGTATTATTCAGTTGAGCACGTTTTTCAACTTTTGGGCACCAGCAACAATTTGTGTGCAGTGAGCTCCTCCCCACATGAAATGTTGGCAAGAATTGACAAACTTTTTGGTCAAAAACTAAAAGTAATATATGAAGCTGTCAGTATGGAACAAAATAATGAGGAAGTTGTTGACAATTTTACAAAATGTGAAAATATTTGCATTGAATTTTGAGAGGGTAAAATATCTGGCAGTCAAAGGATTAATTCTGTGATACCATCATCTTTGCCTTCTAAAATCATGGTGCATCGTTTTCCAAATTTTTTCCCCTTAAAGTGTATATTGAACCTAATGACAATTAATCACAAGTTTTAATCAAAATTAAAAAAAAAACTATATTTTGGACAAAAGCAGGTTTATTTTGTGAAAAGTGATAAATAACTTAAGTGTTCAAAGAGTTGAATTATCACTTCAGTTCTACTGGATGTATAGTTTAAAAAATAACAAAAATGCACAAATAACTGGAAAAATATGTTAAAAGTGTTGAATTCATATTCATTTTTTTTTATTTCATGAGTGTTCAGTAAAAAAGTATTATTTAAACATGCATCATTTAGCTGTTAATAAAAGTCTCAGTTTAACCAAAGTCAACCAGGTGCTAAAGTCAACATTCAAACCATTCATAAAATAAAATATGATTTTTTAAAAATTTTGATCTAGACCCATACCTAATAGAAATTTAGGTGTATTTTGTCCAAAATGATTGAAAGTATTCTGAAAAAATACCTGAAAATAGGCAAAATGTTGCATACAAATTTTGGTTGGAAAAATTCGGCGCTCAAAGGGTTGAAGAATACACATTTTGTCATAATTTTAAATGTTTATCCTGCATGTAATTCCATAGGATGAACCTACAACTGGTATGGATCCTCACTCTAGACGATTTCTATGGGATTTAATACTTAATATCATTAAAGGTGGCAGATCCGTCATTCTGACGTCACACAGGTATGTTAGTAATTTAAGTTTTATGGTTTATCTTCACCATCTTTTCATCACAAATTCACAAAATAATCCAGTTTATAGTCTGCATTTTTTTTTATTTTTGAGTAAAAACAGAAAATTTACTCAAATTTTGACTGTTGGCTCCAAAATTCGGGTTCATTTACAGAAATATTGAAGAATATATTAAGAAAAAAGTGCAGAAAAATTTTGGGCACGAAGGTCTGGTGGTGAAAAGGTTATATGAAACTACCAGTCAATCAACTAAACTGTATTTGATAACTTGCTAAAATAGGGAAAAATTTAATGAAAAACCATAGTTAAGATACTTCTATGGCTTTCTTGTGACTATATTTTCAGTGTTTTCTTTACTGTGTTCCACTTTCCAAACATATTCTGAAGATTCCCTATTCAGTTTATTTATTTTTTTTATATTTAAACAATATTTTTATTTCGTTTCAAAAATATAAACATACAACACAAAATATTACATTACATATAAGGAAGGAAGGAAAATTAAGAGAGAGAATATAAAAAAAAAATAATTTGATCAGTTTATTCATTATCTATATTTCTATCTACACCATTATTTAAATGTCATCTGTACTTCCTAGTGAGAATTGGATGAGGATTCTAAAAATATTAAAAACATGTTATTTACATGACTACATAGATTCCAATTATTGAATTATTCCCCATAATGGAAGCCACCAGTGAGTTTAGAATTGTATGCATGCACATTGACATTTGTGATTAGGTCTGAATAATGCATTTGTTTGTGTCTGTCTCTAGCATGGAAGAGTGTGAAGCCTTATGTACTCGTCTAGCTATTATGGTCAATGGTCATTTTAAATGTCTGGGCAGTATTCAACATTTAAAGAATAGATTTGGTGATGGTTACACTATCACTATTCGAGTCAAAGGAGGATCCCGGCCTAATTTACAGCCTGTTGTCAGATACTTTGCTAGGAACTTCCCCAGTGCCATACTGAAGGTAAGACAAATGAAATATGCATATAGTGTGCAGCTTTGAACAATTCAAGTATACAAAGCATATATAAGATTGAAGCATGGTGATGAATGGCGAAGGAATGTTTGTGAACGGGAAGCAGATACAATCGGCAAACATCCTGAAAATCATTGGAGTTTGAACATTGCTGACATATAAACAGTAACATCAGACATTCAAATATTTTATATAGTATAGCCCCACAATCCTTATAGCACTTCTTATGATTACGAGATCTTACTAAAACAACAACTGACATAATCATAGAACATAATACAGCTCATAAAATAAGGAGAATGTGTGCTGATGATAAAACATTTCCAGCCCCAATTGAGTTACTTTGCTGAGATTTTTGGTGATTTGCTATAAATTCCAAGGAAGTTTATTGTCTGAAAAGAGCCTTGAGGAATTTATTTCAACATGACAACAATTATTTATGTGTACTACCAATGTTTATTTATTTGTTTAAATTAGAGTGATGCTTAAATTAGAGATTTTGTAGTAGTCCACCACACCCCTCAAGACATTATAAGGTGACTCTACTGTTTGTATCCATATCCCTCCACTGGAAAAGTGTGATTATGATATGATGTCTATAAAACTAATACTGTAAAATACTTTATTTTAGCTGGGATTAATTTTTGCTCAAAAGACTTTTTGTGTGTTTTGTATAGGATTTATTTACTGTTGAATATAAAATATAGGAAAAAAAAGGTATATTCGCTGGATTTTATTATTACTGAATCATTTCTTCAGCGAAAATAACGAAAATTAATTCCAAGCAAAAATAAAGTATTTTACAGTATACTATTTAATATTGTTTACAGGAAAAACATCATAATATGGTGCAATACGATTTGAAAAGCGAAGATAATGTTTCTCTGGCTACTATATTCTCACAAATGAAAGTTATGGAAGATTTATTGAATATTGAAGACTACTCAGTTAGTCAAACAACACTGGATAATGTAAGTATCAATAAAACCTAACATCCTAGGCGGTATGCTCTTTTTAGGTTACATTGTACATAAAAACAAAAGCATACTTTGCCAAGTGCCTAGAGGGCTCACTACCTATTCTTATTTATTTTCAGGTATTTATTAACTTTGCTAAATTACAATGTGAAGGTGGTGCTGATGACTCACCTGTCATAACACGAAGAGTACCGACAGAATTACAAGATTTATTGAATGAAGAATACTTACAAGATGAAGATAGTGAAGACTTTACAGTCAGATTTGATGAACGTGAGGTTAGTTGAAATTTAAGTTAATTTATTCTAGATTTTACTTGAATAAAATTTGTCCTTCTGGCTGCTAGGTTAAAAATATGATCTAGCTGTTGTTTTTAGGTTCTTTATCTGTCAGTCATGGAAAAAACAGAAATTTCATTTTTTGCTACATAACAAATTTTGGTGTCTGATATTATTTAATGGATATTAATGTCCGAACTGGTAGAAAGACAAAAACAAGTTTATATGTGTATTGCATTTTGATTAAAGCGGGGGAGTCATTACCTGCGCATGCGTCTGATGGCCATAGTGTGTCATTGTTTACAAACAAGCGTCTACCCATGAGCCTTTGCGTTTTACCGCTCCTCCTGCTTTAAATCTAATGACCATTTGCAGGTCAGAGGTGCATCGGCTGTCAGGATGTTGTTTAAATTTGGTTGACGATGCACATTGATACTTCTACCTTGTACATTATCAATTAGCACCGAAATGATTACAAATTCTTCAGAATTTGAAATTGATGAAATGAACAATTTTGTTGTGTGCTTGATAGATATTCGTCTAAAGAATTTTGTAGTTTTTGCAATCCCACTAGGCATGGAATGGGATGAAATGGGTGAAATTTGGTTGAAATAACCCATCTTTAGACATAGAAATAAGTGGACAGAATAAAGACATTGATAATGCTGATAATGAGAACCAGAGTTGAGAAACATGAATAAAAATTGATTTTTTTATGTAATTATAATGACATATTGTTCTTGTCCATATTTGGTCAGAATTGTTCCCACCTAAATTTTAGCAGTATGTTCTATGATATATTATTGCATTGTTTCAAGACTTTTATGCCATGCAATAAAAAAGATTGTTAATCATTAGTTTGTCTTCATCTCAGTTTGTATCAAGACTCTCAAGAGGCAAGGTTGTAATATTTATGCTATGTTCAGAGACGACTTGCTGATAACAATAAAAAATAATATTGTGGCAATACTTGCACATAATTATCTTTTTTAAGATCAGTTTCAAAATAGCCGACTGGTGGCTATTTATTATTTTACTATGTTCCTACTGGTTTCTCTGTATCAAGCTTTACATCTCAAACCTTTACTTTAGATTCATTCTTGGTGACTTCATATACGATTTCAAGGTGCTCAAAGTTCACCGCATAGCACATGTTACAATTTTGTGTCAATAAACAATGTATATGTTGCTATAGATCCCATCTAACACTTTAAAGTATTGACAAGGACTATCATTTTTATAATGACTTTTTGATAATATTTTACTGTTAATTTGTAATATTCTTTTTTTCCACTACAGAGTCACCTTGCATTCAATATGGAAATTGTATAACTACCGAGATATACACACCTCTGTGCTGTTCAAGATAGGAGTAAACAAGAATAAATCAACATGTCTACAAAACCACTATGTATCAGCAGCTTCACTCACAACCATATAATGTGATTAGGCCAGTTCAATTTGAATTCAAACAATCTGAGCACTACACATATCTGCAATGCATTATGGGAGATACACCTATAATATAATAGAAATATATTATCACCCTGGAAACTCTCTAAATTATATGTCAAGTTTTTGAAATGACTTCATAATGTTAGATTACATATCATTAATAATGTACAACTTTTTTCATTCCATATCACTGAGATAATTTTGAGATATGAATAAATAATCTCACCATAGAAACCAATGTAAAAATGACAAATTTTGATCGTTTTCCATGATATTTGGACTCTTGTATCTCAAAAAATCATCCGATGACTTAATTATTATTTTCATTTTTGTTATTCTGATGGTATGAACTTGAATTAAAGTATGATATATAATCTTTAATTCGGATAAAACTTCTTTAAGTCATGAAAACTAATAGCTGTAATGTAGGTGTTAAGATTTATTTTCAAAACCAACAACTTATTACAGCAACAACACTGATACCAAATTTGATTTTTGATAGTTGCTTCAATTACTTGTAAAGTTCCAATATTAGAAAATTGCACTGAAATAGGGGTCAAAATTACCATTTAAAAATCGCTGAATAATAGTGCATTTCAGGTGAAATTATATAGAATTGCTGAAGGCGGCAATAGTTTTTTTTTTTCATGAGCAAAGGTATATGTCACATAGAATGCAATACTAAGGGTCTAGTAATCAACATTTTTTTGAAATACGTCACGTGATGGGGATTGTGGAAAATTACGATGCACGATGCACACCATTATTATCTGAAACGACACATAAAATTATCAGTGAGAGGCCATCAGAGAGAGACTTGAGAGGCGATGAATTTCACCAGGGACAAAGATATGTTGTTATCTTGTATTGTAATCTTTGATGTTCACTCGACAAAACTGGATTTCAATAGATGGCACAGCATACATGATATGTATGTTTTCAATGTTCATATTTCGGCAATGACTGTTACAGATTGGCACTAATGACACAGGAAATGTTTTATAAAAAAAAGGTTGATAGTTACAGCTATACTGTTGCTAAAGAAAAAAACATTTGGGAAATTCTAAAAAACAAAACAATATTTTTCAACCAGGCAGTTTTGTGGCAATATTTAACCACTAGAGTCTTCATAATTTATCTGTTACCATCTTATAGTGTTTTAAATAGTGTTGGATTGTTGATAAGACTTTGTAATATATGCCATATTTCCATTTTTTTTTAAATCTCAAGTTATGTTATTTTGCATCATTTACACTTTTATAACCAGCCTTAACTGCTGTTGGTCATAAAATATCTCAATCAAAACAGTTATTGGCAACTGCCAGAACACACAGTAATATTAAAATACTGCAGTGACAATAGCTATTCACAACATACAAAATTGTCTGGTTGCTAGGTTACCACACACATAGCTGTGTTGGGATTGTGTTTGCATTCAGATGGGGGCGGGGTTTGGGGAGGTCACATCACCTATCATGTTTGTAAATTATGGGAATTGATGTACTCTATATATACCTGATTGATTCAATTTATTGTTTTAAACAGATAATTAACAGTTCATTTATGAGTTAATATTGAGAGTAATAAGGTATAAAATTTAAAACTTTGCAAAGCCGCCTTTGTGTTTTACAAATAACATGTGCTCATGTTACTTCAGTCTATTCATCATAGTGATGGAGGCACTGAGGTTAAACCAATTGTCAACCAACTGCACATTTGAATAAATTCACATGTAACTCTTTTTTTGAAACAATTAACAATGTTAGTATATAAACGGGAAAAGTAATTTAAATTTCATATTTATTTTGAACCAATGACGTAAGATTTATGCATCATAAATTTATTTGTTAAAGGGGTACAAGTCTGTTGTTGGATATATAATTTAATAATGAATATTTAAAATTTCTAATAATAATTTTGGTTGTTTTGTCTGTTCCTGACTTTTATTTGTTTTTGTGTATATTATTTTGTTGGTTCTAGAATATTTAAAACAACGACTTGAAATGATTTTATGAACAATTTTACATTTTGTATTTAAATTGTATTAAATTTACAGGGTAAGATTCTGGAATTTGACTGGCTACAGTGGGTTGATATAAATACTGATACTGAAATTATTACTATTATTATCTTAATAACAATGTGAACTTTATAGATTGAAAACTAGGCAGCACTATTGTTATCTTTCATTGCTGATACACTCATTTTGATTGGTCAGAATACATTGCTTAAAGTTGCTTAGAGTAAAATATATTAGTGAGTATCTAACTCGGGAATTATCTGCCTATTTTGGATGCAGATGGTTATTTACATAAGAAAAAATTATTTGTTCCCATGCAACACTATTTTGCTTTTGAATAGCATGTGATTTAAGTTTTGACATTTGCAGTATTGAATGGTCAATAAGTTGGTATTGATTTACATTTAGCTCTTTGTTACATGAGAACAAATAGCATATCTATAGCTTATTGTGATTAATTTCCAGAGAAAGAATATACAGCTTTGCTATTTATGCAGCTTTTATTTTGGTAACACAATTATTTAAGCTTCACAAGCATATTTAGCATTCATGGGCGTTCATTGGTATAAATTCACCTTACTTAAATAAGTTGTTTAAAAATAACATTCTGTATAATATTCTGAGAAACTTCAAATACATATTGAGTGCTGATACTTAATGTGTTTCACATTTTAACTCGTTTTCTATATATTTGGGTTTAAGTGGTATATTTTGATGTTAAAACCTATTGACCAATTGTACTATTTTATTGTGTTTAATATTTCAATAAATAAACTATATGCACTGATTCAGTTTTGTTTCTGACGCATCTTCCTTTAAGCTGAGAAAAAATGAGTACCAATAATAATAATAATATGTTGGTCGTTTTTGCATTCATATGCAAAATAGTATGTCACACAGAAACAGTCAGTGCTCACTATTGGCAAATGCAATGAAAAGTGGGTTGCTCGTGGCTGCCTTGCACATACATAGGATACAGATTGATAGTTAAGTTGCTGAAGATTTTCACACAACTCTAGATAAAAAAAATCTGTTTAATAGAATTTGCAGCAATACCGCATATATAATAGTTTCCATCATGCAAGTACAAATCTACTTAGTTTGTATTAGATTTGTTTAATGTCAAATTAAGGTTTATTAGGACGATTCATAAATCTCTCTGGTTATATAGATTGGTTTACATGACCTGGGTATCTAAAGACAGCACCTACCATTGGGTAGGGATTCATTTAGCTTCTGGATTACTAATGAATACTAATTTCCATGCACCACATATTTAAATTAGACTAAATTTATATAAGCAATGCATATTATGGAAGTAATGAGTTGTTTGAGAATTGCAACATCTGTTTCGTCCATCATTACAGAGAAATGATTATGTAATAATTGCGATTATGCAATACCTGCAGATAACTACAAAAGAAAAACACAGTTCCTAAATTACCATTTTGCCTAAGGATCTGGTTTTCAGGTAAAGCCTGAGTTATTATGGCATCCACTAAAGCATACTTAATTTTATTCATGACGCTGTAACAACAGAGGCAGTCAGTTACAACTTTATGGAGCATTCGTAAATGTTAGTGTTGATATTGCATTAACAATAAAAAGAAAGCTTTTGTTAGCTGTAATACAACATAATGTTTGACCCATGGTACTTATTTGTGAGTTACATTAACTACATGTATTGTAAATTATGAAGCTTCCTTGTTGATACCGAGATATTAACATTTCCAACAATATGATAATATATCAGAAGTGCATGTCGCGTACGACTTATTTGTGTCACTGAGAATGTTCTAGAACCGTACTATGTCTGGGTGGAATATTCTATATTTTTTTAGAAAATGATTGAATAGGTAATAGAACACTGTAGGAGGCAATAGAAGGTAATGGAACATTCTAGAAATTTGTAGTAAGTTCCAGACTCATTATGTATGCCGATGTAATGGTCTATTTATAGACAGTGTGGGTATATATAGGGGAGTTGTTCAGCACTGAGATCAGATCGGAGATCTCGTTGAATTGTATTGGAGTTTAAGTATCTAGTTATTGGAGTAGTGGAGTTTTACCGCGTTATTGTACTTGATGTTTGCAGAGTATAATACTACCAGTACCAGTTGAAACCTCATCTGTTGGCTTCGTGTTCGTATTTTATCATCGACGCCAGGGAAGTCTTTCTGTTACTGTTGCCATTTTGGTATTTGAACCATCACACCTGTACTATACCAATTACGGTAATATTACGTTGCGTGTGACAGTGCATTACAGTGATATCTATAAATTAGAACTTTGTGCTGTATATTGCAAAGTTACAAACAATATACTAAATATATTTGTCACAACTAAAAAAAAATATATATTAGAAAAAGTTTTATTTTATCGCCATATATAAATGTGTCGACATAGTAATTATAGTTACGCCTGGTTCATCAGTGAAAGATTCTAGATGATGCACGATGATTTTTAAGTGATGATTCCCCTTCCAAGTTCCTTTCCAATTTTTACAATCATCGCAAATTATCATCTCCACAGCCTTATGTATTGTACAAATTGTGTGTTTTATGCTCTTATATAGAGATCATACACTTTGCAATGGTGTGGGTGAGTTGCCATATTGTCTGATCACATTGGCTCCAGGGAAATGGTGCGAACTTCTTATAAACTTTCCTCATCCATAATATTTGTTTTGGTTCAGCAAACTCAATCAAACTCTTATACCCACAAAACTTCTTAATCATATGGAAATTCATATTTAATTCATATTTAATTTCGACTAACTTATTACACCAAATTACACTAGACTAGTTTATGTTGTCGCGAGCTAATCACTACCACTATTTGAATATAGTTATTTTTTTGATAAATAATGAACGAACCATGAGCTGAACGATGCAGATATTACTATCCTTCTCTCGCAGTATTGGCAGGGTGATAAAACAAGTCACTTTCCCAGTATGACAGATAATTAGTTACTTATCTTACCTAAAATGTCTCAATATTGAAATGATAAACTATTTTCATTTGACATAATTGATAGCAGTACACATCGTCATATAAGAATCAGACTGATTGCTCAAATAATAATATCTATAGTAACTACACATAAAACCAATTCCACGGGGAGTTCAAACTATGGTTGAGATTAGAAATATGTCTGGTGCCCTGTTGAATCCCTGTTAGGGAGAAGTTATTACCTTTCCAGGTCTTTGTAGTACGAAATGGCCCCTGCCCCCACTAGCGCCATTGGTCTGGGATATCCAGATTCTCTAAAAACTAGCAACCATGCTGGTGCCACATCCAGAAACTCAACAGAGCAAGCAGAATTTAGTCTCTAAGACCCATCTAAAAAGCATAGCACAACTATCTGGTATTAACTGTTCCATTATAATAACAGACACTCCCCTTTGTGGAATGTTTAGCTTTGTGCTATGCACCAGGCGTGTTCTATGCGCAGTGACCAACTCTGGGGTAGCACTAGTCTTGGCCAAATAGAGTTTCATCCTGTGTAATATAGTCAACTTTACAGATCAAGATTGTCCCTAAGGTCATCCTTTTGTGAGTACCAAGCATTATAAACTTTTCTGAACACATACAAATAAAGACTTTAGTATGCTTGCGATTATTAAACGTACATTTATTGTATTCTCAGATGACAGGTTGTGCTTTTTTTCACGATTAGGAGTCTGTAAATGGATAAGTAAATATCTGTTTGTAGGTGTGTGTGTGTACTGTCTTTAAAATAGAAATGCATTGGAAGGTACTTAGTCTCCGAAGGACAGGCAGGTATGATAAAACACACTAGTACTAATAAACTGTTATGCAGTGCTCAAGATAGGAAACGAAACAATGACAATGACAACTACGGTAACCACTCTATAACAAAGTGGCACAACAATTCATCGTTTATTGAGAGCTCCACTCACATGTCCCAGTTGAAGTTTCGAAAATGCAAGTTTGTTCCACTTTTTGATCCTTTTTGCAACTCCGTGTTTGTAAATTTCTTTTTTTATGTGACAGAAGTTTTCAAACAGTGCACTTCTATCACTTTCCTGTGTGTCCCAATGTTAGGCTTGCATAATGTCTCTCGAGTGACTTTCTTTCCTTGTGACATATTTGTTTTGCCTTGCCCGAAATAAAGGTCAACACTCGTCAACATTATCTGATTCTGATTTTGTACATTGGCTCTATTAAAGTTTCATTCATCCTCATCAGTCACAAGTTTGGACATTTACATTCCAACAACCCTGCTTGTGGGTAATTCATCTGGGCTACCTCCTCGAAAAATCATCCTTTTCTCAACAAACAAACAAAGCCACTATTCTTGCAACCTAGTGTTGTAACGGTGGTGTTTTGCTAAACGCAGCATGTAGTGATTCTTATCACTGGCTTCTATACGGTTACCATACTTCAAAACAGCTTGGGTGTTTATAACTAAGAAAGTTAAATGTCGAAGAACTAGTGTTTACCTCCTTTATTTTGGTATAAATAAAATATGCTAGTATATTTAGAGCTTGTTTGTTTGCTAGAGGGAAGTCAATATTCCTTAGAGATGCTTTTGTTGCTCATGTGACATTTGACCCATTATTATTCAAAATGATGCACTAATGGAAAAGTCGCCTATTTTATTTTTGTGTATTTGTTTTTGTCAGTTAGTTGTTATGTTTTCAACGATCTATGGAATGAACAAACAAATACTAGGAAGGTAGCCATGAGGCTACAGAACATGGTATAAAACGGGAAATGACAAACTCACTTCCAACTAGGAGAAAATCAGTTCAACCCTAGTAGTATGTGTGCATTTTGACAAAATCTGGAAAATAGAATATAAATTAATATCCCACCACCATAAATGTGACATGCACCACAAACACTTACAAACAAAACATGCATGAATGACAATGAGGCGGTTATTTTTCCCAAATTGTAATTTTATAATTTCTATAACACCCTGTACACTCGCTCAGGACCAGATTTTGCTGAAATCTAATATTAACGACATATAACTAATACTCAATATTTGGTTGTAAGCATTGATTCGAATTACTCGGTGAGGTAAAACCTAAATGGTTTGTTCCTTCTGATAATTGGCTGAATAACTTTATAGCGGGCAACTGAAAATAATGAAAGAACTATGTTATTATCACGTCACCACAAAGATAGAGACACAAAAATTATGAATAGCACTCATGGACATATTCTATGAATACTGTGGAATACTTTATTTTAGCTGAAATTAATTTCCGCTGAAAAACGTTTTGGGTGTTTTGTGTGGATTTTGTTTTCATTGATATTTCAAGAGTTGAATGTAAAATATAAAAAAAGTATATTTGCTGGGTTTTATTTTTTACTGAATCTTTAATTCCTTCAGCGAAAAATAATTCCAAGCAAAAATAGTATTCTACAGTATACATTTGATATGGCCATTGGATAAATTTTGCATTAATGGGAGTTTATATGTCATTTTTAACACAAAAAACTAAAAATATGAAAAATACGAGCTAACCCTAATATGAAATTCGTGTGTTTATTGTAGCTAGTGATGATTCGATGGAATAAATAGATACACGGTGTTATTCGTAATGGGACTGGGTCTCAATTGCAGCATTTTGCTGTGATAAATTAAGTCAGACTCTCAAATAGGTGAGATTTATTCGAACGCAAACCACCAGTTGTCAACGCATTTATTTTCAGGAAACGATGACATTTTGTAAACGGAAGAAACGTAGCAAGTGCAACACTTCTAATGTTTCTGACTTGAAATAAAAATCGTATCGTTTTTTTTTTCGACACACATCATTCCAGAATCATTGTACACGGTCTGTATCTACCATTTTGTGGTGGCGGTGGAGAGATATTGGTGTTCCAAGATTAATCAAAACTGTTGCTGATGAATAGCACCGGCACTCAATGAAAGTACAGGTGTAGTCAATTTCAGATCCTGTTGGTGGTTCAATTCGAATGCCAAGGTGAAAACAAATAGGTCTGAAAAATCCCGAAGAGACTGACCTCGTCTTTATTGGCGTATCTGTCCTGTTCGTGCAATGGATTGTGGGTGAGACAAATTGCCCGCTATTTTTTAAACGAGGAGTGATAAGTGGTTCCTTGTAGGGTAAGGAAACAACACTACTTTTGTCTCAAATCGTGCATGTGGGCTGCTGGCATTTACTAAGACAGAATGACTTGCAGTAAAGCCAAAAATATGTACAGGCGATTTGTGCAAATATGTGTGTGCGGCTGCAGTTGAATTATACTACTAAAAATACGTTATTAAATATTGTCACTGCAGTCACTGGTTAATGCCTAACTTCGCGTATTTGTAATTTAATACCAACTAAATTATATTTACCCTTGTCCCCAGCTTCGATGAAATTCGGTTTCGTCGGTTGCATTTGTGTTAGCTGGTGTAATCAGTTCATATTCCGGGGAACCATTCGAGTCACCACATAAACCTCGTACATTGTAACATTCACTGTAGGGTTGTGAGAGTTCAAGTTCCACTCTCCTGATTTCCCATTTGACGACTAGGTCGTAGAAACCATCAGAATCGACATCCATTGTCACGTGGTAAGAGTCGCCATGTTTACTCAACAAGAATTGATTGTAATCTCCATGCCAACCTGGGAAATCGTCCTCATCTATGGGAGGTCCATCTTCAGGAAACAACTAAAAACAACAACAACAATAGAAGTTAGAGAAGCTCAGCTGTGAACTTGAATGTGCTCTCTCTCAAAAAAATTGATGATCATAAAAATGTAATTTCAGAGTTCTCACAATCACCATGAAATAGTAGAGCAGTGCTTGAATATTAATAGCAGTGTAGATACAGAGAAATACTCACCGTGAATGTTACAGGGTCTACACCATTATTAACACCAAGTACTAATCGTTCATTATGCTGTTCTAGTATGAGGGTCTCCACACGATAATGGTCTCGGGTTTTTAACTCGGTTATTTTAACCTTGAGGTCATGCAAGCTACAATTCATATGCAACAGCGTGTACTCATCACAGTCCCCGCCCTCGTGGTATCGGTATCCATCAAAGGTATTAAAACGTGGATCTCCCCAGACCGTACAATTGACTACAGCTGTGAAAAAACAAAGATAGAAATGAAACATGAGTCTTGTTTATTTACAGTTACCCATAATGCACTATGTTAATCTTATGTATTGACACGTGATCAAATGTGTTGTGTGCGATTATATATCTAATTTGCGATTGACATTTTCATGTTAGGAATAACCATAGTCCACCAAGCCATTGAGAAACAAGGTATGTACAAGTGTTGTTCATCCACCTGCAGTGCATTGTGGGCTCATGGATGTCCATGTGGCATCACGCTATTTGTGAAGAGATAACTGATCTATATTGCAGTTTGTATTGGTGAATCTGTGTTAAATAAAAAAATATTTTCAAAGTACTCATATTGATCTGCCATTGTGAAATATGAAAATATTGTTTGTCTCGCATTTAAGACCCACATTCAGTGTATAAAATATAATGTGATTACCTCGTGGTGGTGGGCAATAATACCCTTGGGTGATAGTGTTGTTATTACAGCAATATCGACACTTGGTCTTCACGTAGATTGGCGCTACATCACATTCATTAAAATTTGGTTCATTTTCGGATTCTTCGATACAAGCCTGAAAGAAAGCAGCGATGCAACTAACATTCTTTTCGAATTTCGCTACTTAACAATGAGATGAAATCGTTTGCAAGTCAATGTCAGCACTGTATCTGAAACTCTACTATCTGCTGTTCAATCTTGTCAACAAAATGGCGTTCGTCGATTGATGTTTTTATTGGTGCGACAGTTCTTGACTACGACTTGCGTACCGTCTGAGTGAATATTTTGAGGTATCCTCATATAAACTTATTATTATAGACTTTTCCTTCCAAGGATACATCATGGGAATGCCGAAATCCAAAAGGTGTAGAACAAAATCAGCGAACTTCTTTGTGTGGAGTCCGGGCAAACCCTGGTGGTAGCCATGTTTGTTTGTTTGTATTATTAGAAGACGCTTACGCAAGTAATCATTCCATATGTGGAATTCGCATTTCCTTATATGGTAGGATGAAAATACCCCGTAAAATACCGCAAAATTAAGGCACGCTGTAACCTAAGGCGTTACGGCGACAGATGTATAATAATACCAAATATCGAGCTCACCTCTATTTGTTCACATTCAGATATAAATACCAAACCAGTATTTCTTTGCCCAATCTGATAAAAATCTGATGTA